CCTTTCTCCACCTCAAAAAGGTATTTAAATCTACACCTTATGAAGTCTGAGTGCCCTTCTAACGGAGATCTGTAACACACACTTGCACCAGTGCATTACATCCACCACTGAAAATTTTGCAATGTACAGTACAGCTAGTCTCTGCATGCAGAAGAGGCCTACTGTCTCCCAGTGGTGTCAGCTTCTATGCATGCACTACACAGTCAGATACTCTCTGGTAATGTTGCCGGTTTCCCAATAGCTTCCAAAAAATAAGAGTCAGCAAAAGGGGACATGATGAGCATTCACACAGCTTTCTCTCACACAATCATTCTACTTAAACCCCAACAAAACAGGCTGCGGGCCAGAAAACTGTTGTGAAGATGTAGTACAACTCACATACCATCTTTCCCAGGGCCTTGTGGCCTCTATTCTGGCAAATGATGTATTCTAGTCACATAATGCAGGAGAAGTTTTTGTCCAGCTGGGAGAGACAACAAAGAGGAACAACCTGCTGCTAATATTAGAATAATTTATCAGGTCTAGAGTCTGTTTCCTGCATGTTGCCAAAGACCACTAGGAAACAGGGAAACCAGGAATGTCTGTTGAACCAGAGGAAATGTACTGAAAGCACTGCAGATTGGACACCCTTTCATTACAGCACTCAGAGACTTATTATAAAAGCAGTATAGACTATATAAGGGGTAGACTACCAGACACTGAGTTATTGTCTCATCCTACAGGCAAAGCCAATCTCCACGAAATGCTGTTTATCTCCTCTTATTATAAAATGTAAATATATCACCAGCAAATCTTTCAGGGGTGTTACAATGATCAAGTAATTAACATTTTGGAAAGCTCTTGAGGAAAAAAGAAATTCTAAAGATTAAAAGAAGAGTTATTAAAACAAACAGAAAACATCAGGTATCTCCTGATAGCAATTGATAAAAAACATATTACTACCTAAAGATTCTGGTTTGTTACTGCATAGCAAGAATTACACACAATAAACATGAGGCAGACAATCACTGAACTTTCACTTGAGATTTCTACATTGAGAAAAAAAACCACTATTACTGTGAAACCAGCTCTGAAGAAGAGAAGAGATGGTTTTACAAGTCCTAATGCTGCAAACATTTAAATTTAATTCAGATATATGATTATTTGCATTGAAATCATGGAGGTTTTTCAGAATCATAGAGACTGGCATATGCATCAATGTACCTGCAGGAAATGGACTTCAATTATCAACACCTTTCACTTCGACCACACCTGTATGAGCTTCCTAGGTACGCTTATCTTTGGAGTGGTGCTTGATAGTTAACTATTGCATAGCATGTATTAATATATGGCAACATTCTTAATATTGTGAGCATGTCCAAAGATTGGACAACAACAAGAAAAGAGGTGATTGAGCACTTTGACTAAATATCAATATTGTGTAAAAAAATACAGAATTTCTTTTTCATCTTCCTTACCTGTAAAAACCTCGAGAATGTATATTTAAGACCAAGTGTGCTACAAAAAAACTTATGCTTTTACTGTGTGTATGTTTATCCATAGCAATACATTTAAACAATTATATTCTTACACTTAATCAAACAATGGATTTTTTTAAAACCAAATGAGTTATGCTTTGGTAACTGTTCAATCAATATTCCTGGCAATTTCAGGGAAAATACAGTTCAGTCCTCTCCAATGGACATCAGTGAGATACTGAGGGAATAACATGATTTCAAAGTCTCAGTGGACTTCAGCCAAATGCAAAAGACAGCTTAAGCCCAAATGTCACGGAATTCCAAAAGGACTGCAGAGTTTCACAAAAAACTACTTCAGCTCCCTATTAGATTTACAGAACACAATACTGGCATTATGATGTATATAAAACGAGCCACTTGATACCATTTTCAGTCGCAGACCTCAGTTGCATCACCCTTTTACATTTACAAATACATGTGACTTTACAGTTACAGTTCTCAGCTTTTTAAAGTCATCCTTCCACTATGATGTTATCTGCTAGTAATCTATTTCAGCCACCTGCATAACTGAACACACTTAGAAAGTTACCAGTGTGTTAACACCCCTCCCATGCATCTTATGTTACACATAAAGAGTGATAACTGAAATCAGAATGTAGCCCCATAAGAGCCTTTTTCATCTTTGCACATACATTTTTTTTGAAATGGATTCTTCAGAAGTATAACAGCTTAATTGTTTCTTCTATTTGGAAAGTTTCATTCTAGCTAAACCTTCATTGACAATTCTGACGTGAGTACTAGGAGGCTTTTTTTAAAAGAAAATACACCAACAGGCAGTTTCATGCTTGTAATAATATTGTAATAAATAATAATATTCTAATAAATAAATCAACCAAACTCTGAAAAAGATTCTCTTGAACACACATAAAGATGGAAGTTTGTGTTCCGCAAAAACTTGCGTTATAAGTAGGGTATGCAGTAAAATCATCTGCTATAAATAGTAGAATTTATTTTCCCAGAATCCAGACTTAGGAGCGTGAGGATTTTTGTAATTTTTTAAGAAAGGGCTGAATAAGCAACGAATACTGAACTCTAAAGGAAACAAGTCAAGCAGCTATGTGCAACAATGCCCTGCAATTCAGTGATGGCAGAAAGCCATGATTTCAAATTAGTTATACTGCATATAAACAGTGCAAAAAGCATCAAAGCAGTTAATGGCTTAATGCAGTACATAATAAAAAAAATTCAATCCCAGTATCATCTGGATAATTACTGATCTGGAAAATATAGCAATGAAAAATACCTATGTTTGCTGACAGAAACTTAAGTTCTTTATGTTACCTTCAAAAGAAAATAAAACACCCTACCTGTGTAACACTGTCATATCCTCAAGTTTTGAGCAGTTCTGCAGGATGTAACCTAACCGTTATATCAAATATAAACCACATACTGTCAGCAAATTGCAAAATAAGAATTAAAATAAAAGCCAGTCTTTCAGAAGCACAGCACTTTCAACACTAAGATGTGCATATTGAACTTTCTATCAGTTGCAGTTACTATAACATGGCTATATTATAACCACTATAACCATGGCTATTCATAAAATATGCCATGATTTGCCCTCAGAATCTCAGAATCACTTACATAACACTCTACCCGAACCAGAGGTCCTGTTTGTGACCTTTCCTAGTTTTAAGTTGATTTTGTATAAACTTTGCCCATTTTGATGAAATGGATGATAGAAAAATGTCCCAGGTTTTGCATGGCACAAAACCAGAATGGATTCTTACAATCAAGTCCTTATTAAAAAAAAACAAAACACTTGTTTGTACACAGATAATATTCTGCCCAAACCTCAAGACACTAGAAAATAAAATTTCCTTTATACTGCTGTTCTGGTTCCAGGTAACTTGAGGGTTTCAAATGTCTAGAAGGAAAGACCTACACATCTATTTGATACCTTTTCCTCACTATCTCCACAGAAGTTAACAGAAGATTCTATTCCGTATGTGATACATAATGAGGCCAATAACATCACACACACTTACCTACGGTACCTTCCAGATGCCACAGAATACCACTTTAGGAGTCCTGTGGTTTATGCCAGTACAAGACACCCATTCAGCTTGCTTTTTATGTCACACTGATAAAGTTGGAAAGATCTGTAAATTGCAGGAGGAAATAAGGAGATAACGCAGCTACAGACTAATTACGGCCTTCACTGGAATCCATGGATTAGTTCTGGAAATACCAACTGATTCCAGGAAGACTGCAAGCCCACAGTCACAAACAGTGTGACTTCCTTCAAACACAAAGAACTAATTGACCCACTGTGACACCTGCTGGGTGACCCAGCCCATTATGTCTTCTTTTCTGTAAAAAAAAAATGCATGCATCAAACTTAAAATTACTGAAAAAAAGGAAGTATGTATTAATTCACAATTATTTAAGCATAACAAAAAACTTTTTACCATGAGCATGGTCAAGCACTGGAACAGGTTGCCCAGAGACGTCATAGAGTCTGTATCTTTGGAGAGAGTCAAAACCCAACTGAACAATGTTCAGAGCAACCTCCTCTAGCTGATTGTTTTGAGCAAGGGGTTGGACTAGATATCTCCAGCAGCCCCCTCCAACCTCAACTATTCTGTGATTCTATGAAGACTGTAATAAGGAAGCAAGAGAAATATAACAGAAATAGAGTAGAGCACCATGTGTTTTTCTGATTTTTAGATTAAGGTCCAACCTGAAACAAATAATTTGTGATAGAATTCATAAATGTAAGAATGCTGAGCTATCCTGAGATTGTGTATTTCCTGTGCTTTGATCCCACACAAAGTTGGGACTTATAGCAAAAACTGGGAAAAGAAAAAAAAAATTGAAATCCATGACTACCTTTTAAGTATCTTACATTGAAGCTTTTAAAAATGGCAGAAAAGAGACTACTAATTAACTTTCTTCAACGATTTCCTTCCTTTCACAACTGGTAATTCTAGGAAAAGAAGAAAGCAGTGAGCATAGAGCCTTCCAGAGTTCAATTTAACATACAATACAGTCTACTGGAAAATTATAATCAAATCCTCTGGAGAGGTTACAAATTCACATTGCGTAAGCTATTTGTAGCTAGTAAGTCTCAAATAAAACCTACTGAAGTTAGAACTGTGATACAGCTAAGAAAAAGAAGAACCACATGAAAGCCAGTGAAGCCGATTCTGCTCCTTGTACATAAATACAATCTCCAAGTAGAACCTGCAAGTGATTTATGTACGGAATCAAATGAATTACTTTAAGCACCTGAAGCGTTTGATATTTCACGGGATTTTGATGCAGCTAGCAGTTTATTCACACACATATACAGTCTTCATTACATTCACTCCTGAAAGTTGCAAGTTAAACCCTATGAACCTTCACACAGCTGCTGGATACTTTAGTTTCAAACATAGGGAGCAGATTCAAACTAATCTATGTTTGATCAGATATTACACTTTTTAGATTAATCTATAATAAAAAAAGTATCAGAAAATACACATAATTTTTTGCAGTTACCCAGCAGTTCCATTGCATCATCTTCATTGTCAATATCTTCTTCGGTTACAGATGGAGCTGTGCTTTGAGCAGAATCAAAGGAGTCCTGAGAAAGCATTGCAGCCAGCAGTTTCTTATGTTGCTGCTGTTGTTGTTTTAGTCCTTTGGTTTTTGGCTCCATTTTTAAGCTGTGAGGGAGGAAAGCACAACTTTCTCTTACTGGTGCTCTCTACAAAATATGTTACACATTTGTCAAATTTCTGTAGCCCATGATGTCCTCCAGATCTGAAGGTTAACGCTATCAGATCACACATAAACCAGCTGGTTATCACTCATTCCCTGATCGTTGGATGTTATAAGTCAGTTTGTGTTTTCAGTTCCTATCTAAACTTTTGATTGAATGATGATGGGAAATTTCCCATTGCCTTCATGGGAATTAATCAAGTCTAAATAAGCTACATATACAGAACAACAGGATGTCAATTACTAATCATTATTGCTAAGGCATTGATCGCACAGCAGCAAAGCTGAGAACAAAGAACTGCTCCCTTGAGTGGTTATGTTATCACGACCCCACAGGATTAAGAACTAGATAGTTATAACAATTCTCATGGTTTGTTGACTTGTGTCCCTAACCTAAGTAACAGACAACTGGAACTGTGCAGAAGTTAGCAGAAGGGTCTAAGGCAGGACTTGCTACAGTTAGCAATTTCTGATTTCTTACAATATCAAGATAAAGACAACAGGACAGAGGTTTGGTGCCCCACATGAGGGTATCAGCAACACCTCAGACTGTCTTACAGACTGTTGCAGGAAGGCAGATCTGTTGTATGAAATTTAGTATAATCAATGATAGTTCATTTCCCACTGGAAAGATGAACGTTAATAAGACAAAGTGGACCTTGGAGATGAAGAACGGGCTTTGTGTTTAGGACATCAGGTTATGGATGGGGCCTCTGCAAGCTCTAGTTCATTTCGGGCTCTAAGAAACAAGAGCATCATATTAAAAATCATCCAAATTCCCACTGTGTACATACATTATCCCTTGAGGAAGCTTCCCAAGAGCCTTGCTGCTTCTCAGAATTTCTCCAGGAAATTTTTCATGTAGAAAACTACTAACAATGACTTGGAAATGAGCTTAATCCTATTTTCACGGTGTTCGAATTTCTGAAAGATAAGCTCAGTCCCAGCAGGATTGCCATCAGCACCTTTATATGGTCCCTTATCACATATTAATACCTTACCTTGCTCCCTTACAGCAGCAACAGATAGCAGTACAAAACCAGTGACAAATACAGTCTTTCCTCTGTGGCAATCCCGAACATTAATGGCAAAAAGGTGACCCTTCATCAGTTTGACAAGACATCACTAGCACAGCTACCTCAGACTGGCTATACTATCTTTCCTAGTCAAAGTAGTAGTGAAACCTGTCCTTTCAGTTGCTCCAAATTAATTCCCCTTCTTTTTTTAAGTAACTGGGCCTGGCTTTCAGATATACAACATGTGTGCTTCTGTTGCTCATAATCACAGGAATGTATGTTTTTAAGGAGGAAATAGTTACTGTCCAACACTGAATGGAGCAAAAAGTGAGGTTTGTGGTTGCAAAGACAGAAAAAGCAGACAACTCAGAGATTCCCAAACACCATGTACTATGTATACTCACAATGATCTGAATTTCAGCACTATTATGCTGAAAAGACCAATACTGAAAATGGGCATGTTATCAACAGACCCGTGGTCCATAGGAATATGCCGTTCTCTTGCAGCCTATCCAGACCCCCATAGAATGCTATGAATGTGTAAGGACCCAGGGCTTCCCCTTCCACCAACCAGAAAAAAATTGTACACTATGATCTGTGAAAACAACATAGAGAGAGGGAGTCACGTGACAATGATGGCAATTACTCTACCAGTGATCTGTCAATGCCTAATCCTCTGGATATTTATATAGTATTTCATTTATGTAGCATTTCCTTATGTTTAGTGACAGGTAAAAGAAAACATATTACCTGGAAATAATGGGACAATTACAGTTTTTACTTTCCTGTTCTTATGCTGTAACTGAAGATTAGGATTAGTTTTTAGAGTTTGCTGGCTTATCATATAAATCCTGATAATTAGTGATCAATAAACTATCACTTTTTATTAAAAGAGTTGCTAAATCAAATTTAACAAGATGTAATTGGAAACATTTAATATGAATTTCAGACTGCTCCCTCTTTCAGTTGCCAGGTAAAAATGTGGCTACATTAACTATGAAGTAGATGAAAGAAATACAGATGAGGTAGCCAAAAATTCTTTACAACTGATAACAAATTCACTCTTTTGAGAGTTTCATTTAATCTCATAAAACCCATACTATTCCCACTACTTTTGGATGTACTAGGTATATGCTACATTAAAACTAAATTATTATTACTTATTACTTGTCTCATGCACTTGGTTATAGTCAATTCTAAATTCTGCTAATAGTACTTTAATTCCCAGTAACACTGAATCAGACCTTGAAGAAACTGTCTGTTATTAGTGAACTGTTATCAAACATTCAGATTAACCTTGATCAATACAGGTCTTTTAAACTTCCATGTATAAGTGGCATCAATTTTAGTATCACCACTATCTTGAAGATCTGCAATTTTATGATTATTTTGCAAGACTGCAAACATGCTTTTTATAATGCCTTACAAAAGCTGATGAAATGCTAATGAAGCAAAGAATTATCCCAGACATAAAATCAGTCATCCAAATGTAAATCCATATGCTGCATGTAATTTAGTAGTTATTAATTTCCACTGAAAATCAGTATTCCCACTTAATGATACATATTTTTCAACAGGTTTTCAGCACTTACTGCACCTAAAAACTAGAGATATCAGTGTTCCATGAGTCTTTCCTGGCATCAAGTACCCCATATTCTCCTTACTTCATAGGCCAGGCAACGTGATTTTGTCATGATACTCAACAAGACTTCTCAAATACTATTCTTAAAGCCATTAATCCCATTTTTAATTATAGCATTAGCTGTGAGGTTTCTCACAGCTTGTACCACCCTCTACAAAGAGAAAAATATTCTGCTTTGAATCATCTTTGTTACTCAGAACTAAACGTCTTTGCTTCCGTCTAGAGATCAGAGATGCTTATTTCTGCTCCTTCCTATTGAGAGAAGGGATACAATATCCTCAATTTGCTCTGCAACATGGAACAGATCTTTATTCACTGTCTTTATGGGACTGCTGAATAAGGAAAAAGAAACCCAGGCCCTCACAATCAAGCTGCAGTGCCATTTGCTGACTCCATTACTTTCCCAGGAACTGCACTGGAGACACCCAGTGTCTAAGTTCTGTTGGTTCCAGTCCAACGTCTGGCTGAAGCATCATTACTATGTGCTGCTACTTCTTTGAAACAGTAGTACTTGCAGCTTCCCCCACAATAATCTAATTAAAAGAAGAAAGAAGTGCTCATGGATAACAAACATACCCAACATGTAAGGAAAGTTAATGAATACAGCCTGTAAGAGTACAGCAAGTGACAGACTAGTTTCCCTGTGACAGGGAAGTGAATTCCAGTGTAGAAGTCACATGGAGGACATAGTGAAGGAATATTCACAATTCAATCTGGGGAATGAGAGGCTGGAGAGCAGTCCTGCGGAAAGAGATCTGGGGGTTTCGGTTGATGGCAAGTTGAATATGAGTTAACAGTGTGCCCTGGCAGCCAAAAGGGCCAACCATGTCCTGGGGTGCATCAAGCACAGCATAGCTACCCAGCCTAGGCAGGGAGGCCAGCCGAGGGAGGTGATTGTCCCACTCTACACTGCACTGGTGCGGCCCCACCTCAAGTATCGTGTGCAGTTTTGGGCGCCTCAATATAAGAAGGACATCAAGCTATTAGAGTGTGTCCAGAGGAGGGTGACCAAGATGGTGAAAGGCCTTGAGGGAAAGACTTACGAGGAGTGGCTGAGGTCACTTGGTTTGTTCAGCATGGAGAAGAGAAGGCTGAGGGGTGCCCTCATCGCAGTCTACAACTTCCTCAGGGGGGCAGTGGAGGGGGAGGTGCTGATTTCCTCTGTCTGGTGACCCGTGACAGGACATGAGGAAATGGGACATTAGGAAAAGATTCTTCACTGAGAGGGTGGTCAGTCACTGGTACAGGCTCCCCAGGGAAGTGGTCACGGCACCACGCCTGTCAGAGTTCACGGAGCGTCTGGGCGACACTCTCAGTCATATGGTTTAGTTTTAGGTAGCCCTGTGAGAAGCAAGGAGTTGGACTCGATGGTCTTTATGGGTCCCTTCCAACTTGAGATACTCTATGATTCTGTGATAACACCTTAGATCTTTTCAAAAGCAAAGCAGAGAGTTTCTGCCTTCTTCAAAGAGGAAGAAAAAGGTGTCTGCTGCAGTCAGAGTACTAGTTATAACCAAGAAGAAAGGCTACAGGGCTGAGGGAGAACTGTAGGTGTTTAAGGCAATTAACAGAGGCAGTGCACAAGCTTTACTTTTTTTAAAAAAAGCATTAATCCCTTTTAAAGAAAGGCTGTGAATACTTCACTTTCTGTGATAAACAGGTATCTTTAAATCACGGAAAATGGACTCCTTGGAAAAATTATTATCTCTTCCATGTAGCTGAAGCACACTAACAAACAAACATAGTCCTCCACCCTCAGTCAAGCGTAATAAATCATCAGAAGTTATTTACTGCAGAGAATACAATTTTCTCTTTGAGAAAGAACTGTTATTAACACCAAGATGCTAAGTATAAGAACTGAAGATTAATTTAGGAAGTCCTAAATAACGTATGTTAAAAATAACATAGATACTGCTTCCCTTGTCTATCTTTCCTTTAAATGAGAAAATCAGATTTATCACTAAAGTGCCAAGAAGATTAACAAACAGCTACTACCAACTGCTGAAAGACAGAAGGGCTCGAAGTATCTGAATGAAGCTATACATCACAAAATTATTACACAATGGGCCCCAATCTTGCCAATATACACTTAGCTTTATACATGGGAATAAAACCATGGGATTGCAAATGAGTATAAAGTTAATCATATATAAAAGCATGAGAAGAAACCAGTCACATATTAGTATCTTCCATTTATTCGGCTTGCTGCCACACTACAGCGTGGGAATTTAAAAGCCCTGCACTCTGCTCTGAGAAACGGGGCGTTACAAAGACAGATCCACTTCACAAATTATAAAATTCCTAGGCATAACCAAAATCCCACCTTCCTCCAGGACTGCTGCTATCCTCGCTGTCCCACTGCTCGTTTTTATTTCTTGGTATTGGTGGCTGCAGCATCTCAGCAGCCAGTGGGTCAGCATCATTCTCTTCACGACCAATCCATTCTCCAATCACACGAGGTCTGAGAAGGGGGGTATTAAAACCTGCTGTGTCCTGAAGAGAAATAAAAAAAAAAACCAACAGAAACACTGCTCCGCTTGTTCTCAACCACACATGTAAATAGGAAAAGAAAAGAAGAAATAGAAAATAAAAATGTTCATTAAAAAAGTACAAAACCAGCACAGTACATTATAATTTCAGAGGGCTACAAAACACCCAGAAACAATCATGGACTAATGAAAAGACTCCCATTAATAAAATTCCAAGAGAGATTTGCCTGCCCTGATGCCTCAAATCTCTCCTATTTCTTACTTTTCAATAGCAACTGTAGAAATCTGGAGTATCGTCTTGAAAAATTATAATTTTTTTTAATAAACGCACAACTCTTAAAACCAGCACTGTGTCAGTCCTGCTAAGCAACAGATGAGGTTACTTGCATAACGAACACCCCAACCAAAAGACTGTTGTAGATTAATAGCATCACTCTTATTTGCATTATGAATTAATGCAAAACTAATAAATACATCTGCATTTGGCATTTTAAAAATAACCCTGTTGGGATTTACATAATGTATCTTTCCATTCTAAAATGGTATTAACATTTTAATAAAATGCATTTCTGAAACTAGTACTCATATTTTTAACCACTTACGGGAAGAAGATAGCTGGAAAGGATTACAAGAAGCAAGCAAAATCCAACAGGAATATTCAAAACAATAGCGATGATTAGTATCATTATATTAGGAATTTAGATTAAGGAAACAAATTGTCCTTAAAATTGTATAAAAAAGCTGTTCTGAAGTGGTGAGTATCTCTGTTCTCAATGTTACTAGAATGGTTGTAGATAAAAGGTCATGTACAACAGTATAGTCGAACTAAAAAACAAGCATGTATGCAAAAAAACAGACATGAAATGACGAGATAGGAATATTTATTTTGCTTTAATTAAACTCTTTTCTAGGGTAGCAAAGACATTTCAAATACAGTGTTCCTAATTAGGAGACATATATTCTATTCTTATCCTTTAACGAAAGAAAATTTTAGGAAAACAAATCCTTGGCTGTTACCTAGCTCAGTGTCTCAATAAATATTCCTGCCATAAAACAATGCTTTCCAAACAAGGAGCATCTGGAAAAAGTACAGCACAGTGATTACTTAGCCTAGCAACCATATTTTCTCATGTTCCTAAAAACAAACCATTTTTAAAGTCTCTTCCTAATTGACACAGATATGGTAAAAGCACAGTTAGAAGTAGAGGCCTCTACTGTAACGTAACAAACAAAAAAAAGTCTGCAAACTGCTTTCATATGACTATATTTACCCTGTTCCAGCTAGATGCTGTAATTTTGCTCAGCAGAACTCCAAGAGCTTCCATTTTGACAGAGCCAAATATGACCCAGGCCCTGGATTAGACTTATTCCCCCTTGCTCTTTTGTTCTGCTTTCTGCAATGTGCCTGTGAGTGCATTACCGCACTCCACTCTCCATACATCTGTCCAGAGTTCTCCATCACTTGACTAATTCGCTTTTTACACAATGTCTGTTTTCTGCAAGGTTGATGTGGCACAGTAGGACCACTGAAAATGGAATGCAGCCAATACAGAAGAGAGAAATCTGAGGAAAACACCACAGCTTCAGAGGTTTTAGAATACCTAATCACTGGTGAATTTCTTTTATACACTTACAAATACACATTTTGTGCATGTCTGGTGCTGTGTCATAGTCAGGTAATGTAGACTAGATGACAGTGGCCTCGGTCACTTGACAGGCATAACCTGTCACAGGTGTGACTATCATCATATGCCTATGAGCTAGGAAAAAAGATTATTCCACTGCCCACAACGCCTTCATGACACAAGGTGCCTACAGTGGTTTAAGTAAGAACCATTTGGCCCCTTCTGAGGTTTATTCCTGCTACTCTAGCCATTTTCTCCCTTCCCTTTCTCCCTAGGATAAATTCTAATAATTAATAAAAAAAGGTTGCTGGAGCTAGTTAAACTTGTAACAACTTCCAGTGTCAATTCTTGCTAAAAGCTTTCAGTCCCTTAAGTGAAAATGAAAGCACCTAAGAATTTGCCCTTTTTTCAGTACCACGAGTTTTTCCTGACACTGTACGCTGCACCATCAGCATATGAATAAGTAAACCATGAATGCTGTGTCTATCCTTGTTATGCTGATTTCTTTTCTAGACATTTTATGGATTAAAGTAGCACTTTCATACTCTACGTAATAGAAATGTAATTTACATTACATAGTCATGCTTTGCCTCACTTTATCACCTTGCTTTCCTTTTTGAATCTTTTTAGACTAGTACACCACAGTTTCAGTGACCTAATTTATTTTCTTCCTTTCAACTATATAAGCAGCCACATTGAAAACAGTAAATGGACAATCAGAGACAGCTGTATTGAGAACACCAGGACGTTTATTTGGCACCTTATTTCAAAAGCTTCAATAAATTCAGATGAAGTATCCTGTTCTCAAACAAGTTTTTATATTTTTTTTATATAAACCTTAGAATCTTAACTGATTTCTGATTCATATTCCCTCATAAATAACAGAAGAGACTGACAGTGACATTAGTGTACACAGAAATATTTTCAGGACAGGTAGGTATTTAAATCTGCACTAAATGAACCTAGAGGATTATTTTATGGTGTAGTCCAGGTGTCATCCACTTTTTATACACATCAGTGGCTACCAACTTGACACACTTGAGCTTCCTTTATGTGGAGACCAGGAGAAGAAGGGAAAGACAGGAGGACAGCTGAATCTCATCTTCACGTTGGGCTGAGATGTGGTTGCAGTATGCAACCCCTACCAGGGAGCACAACAACATTTGTGTAACCGTTTATTTAAGCATAGTTTTAAAAGCTCAGTATTGCTAATTTCTGATATGTATTTTGAAGGAACCTCCATAGTGAGAAAAACTTTTGGGTGAGCAGAAATCTATTTCATTTTATGACTTAGAGTAGTTATTTCCCCTATTTTATTGATTATAACCTGTGCTCATTGTAGTAATACTACATGGAACAAGAAAGTATACCCTAGACACAGCATAGAAAAAAATGTTTTAATATTAACCTTGAGGGTCAAAATCTGTTATGAATTATTAGATCATCTTTACTCGAGTCCGATTTTGGATCTCTAACACTTAGCTGTCTCCCATTATTAATGTTTAAAGTGACTGAAAGACATTGTTGGAAATTCCGGACAAATTTCACAATGTTATGACAAGTCTCACACTATCTGTGAGAGCTCCACTACATGAAGCTTAAGTAAAGCACCAATCCATGGAATATTTGGATTATGTGAAAATCTCATCTATTTAAAAAGAAAATATTTCTACTCCTAGTATTTGCAATTAAAAAAAAAAAAAAAAGCTTGGTAAACATCCACTAAGTGTTCTTTAGAGAATCAAAAGCCAGAAGATGAATAAACCTTCCCCTGCCTCCTTTCAAATTGCTTTAGAATGACATCATTTTAGTCAGTCTTCAACTGTGGGAAGAGGTAAAGGGTGTGACTCCTTATTTTGTATGGTCTGGTTCAGAAATATTGCTGAAATGGGTACAATCATATAAATGTGTTTCAAACCTATTTCTGCATTGTAGCATCCTGGCTACATTCTGCCTCAATGTATCTTACAATGCAGACATGCTACAGTACAACATATATTACGGTTTATTTTGTGACATAAACACAGGTAGGGTCTTCCAGCAGCAGCAAATTCTAGAGGAGGCACATCATCAGTAGCCCCATGGTCAGAGCATTTACGTAGGACACTGGAGCTTCAGTAGTATGGCTAGTCTATACTTCTGTGTGAATTTGAACTTCCACTTCCCTGAATTTCCACTAGGGAAGTGTCCTAACAGACTTAGGAAAAACCCTGAAACTCACAGTGAATTCAGTAGTTTTTCCTCTACAATTTTTTAACCAAACTAGAATTCTGTGAATTTCACTGAAAGGCTAACATCCTAGCTCAACTTCTTCGTCTGTGCAGATAAAATTCTTCACATTATTCAGAAGCTTTAGAAACCGCATACTTTCATGCATAGTTTCTATGCAGTGGTAAGGAGGGTGAGTCAATTCAGCAATTTGTATTATATTAACTCTGTACTTCAGCCTTAAAATCTGTGAGTCACAAGGTATCCCTTCTCATTTTCTTTCCTTACACAAGCAGTGCCAGTTGCTGATTTTACATGGCTTCCATGGCCTAGAGACACGGTCTGAATCATCAAGAGAAACTGAACACCAAACTCTGCAAGTCTGAAGTAAATGAGATGAAAAAGGAGGGAATCTATACCACAAATCTGTTTTAATTGCAATAATCTCAGGAATTTTTTTGCAATTATATCAGTAAACTCTGAAATTTTATTAGACTGTGTCAAACTGAAAGCTTCCATTTGACTGACCTTGTCTGCCTGTATTTTCGCTACCTCTGTCTTGGACTGAAGCCCTAAGTACTGGCACAAAGCTAATAATAGCAGATATTTGACAAGAATCCATTTAAATGAAACACCCTTCCACAAAAGAGATTGTAATTCAGAGCAAACTGTTTTCCAAATCCAAATGCTCAAGTAACTAAGCAACTAACTAATTAACTGGATTACTTGGAGAAGGAGTTACATCAACCAAAAATACAGATCAAGTATTCCCCTGACAAAGGCAGCTAGAGGTTACTGCAGCCAGAAATAAATATTTTTTTAAAAGATAATTACATAATGAGAAACAAAAATAAAGAAACATACACATGCATTCTCTGTTTTCTCAAAGTTCATAATCTAAAACACAGATGAAATAGCAGGATTATGGGCTCTGTCCTAATCCCCAAGAATGTTCCCAATCGTCAGGAAAATAAAGCAAGGAAGAGCATATAGAAGAATTTATTATTGTATTTAGTTTTATGTCTCTTGTGACATCTATGCAATGCCAACGTTGTAACAGAATCCAATGCCAAGTTTGGGCATGCTGTTCTAGACCCATGACATCTATCTGAAGGGTTAAATGGTTAGTCAAAACCACAGATGAATGCGGTTTGAAAAATTATTCAGTGCTGCCACAGCCTAGATAAGGAAGCTGCAATATTGCACGTATTTCTGGGAAAGGAATTACAAATGACTACATTTGTACTTGACTACATTTATACCTGAAAAACAAACATCGCCTAGGAACATGCTCAGGTGAAATGGAACCAAATTCTGTCTAACGTTAAACCATTATCAGGTAGTCTTTGGTTGCTTTTGGCCCAAGCCAAATCATACACTTAGAAACAAGTCACAGGAACGTTTCGGGAATTAGCTCGTGTAACGGATCATTCCTAAGAGGCAGGATTCCACAGAATGGTCCTGGCTATGCTTAATTTCTTGACACAGAACTAGTCTTAATCAAAATCCCTTAAGGGGCAAAACAAGAAATAGAAATGAAGTTCACTAAAGCCCACAGAGACGAAAAATTGCGCTGCTTCTGTAAACCTATCCTGGAAGCCTGTTGAGCAATGCTGCACAAAGAACGCATGTTAAGAGCTTTATTGTTTGGGTTTTTAATTTATTTTCCAAATAACTTTTGATTTCAAGAACATTCAATTTACCTGTCCACATCAGAAACAGATGTTAAAGCAGATGCAGTATTGTAAAGGTGTCAGGTAACGTATGCTATTGAATGTAAATAACACATTGTCAAGTTTTATTTAAAAAAAACCACCACCTTCCAATTTTAAATCATAAACAATAAAGCACATGGTAGCAAAAAGAAAATTAGCTCTTTGCTCAGACTAGATCTTGAGGAAATTAATCAATGATGTTCGCCATCTCAATTTTCACACTGAATAATTAAATTTAAAAAACATGAATGTTTTTGAACAATAATCTATCACTGTTCAAAAAAAATTAACACAGAAGTATCTCATAAAAAATATATGTAAAAAGTACTTGATAACAGGCTGTAGCCCAAAATGTCTTTTTCCTCCCACAAACAGTATTTCATAGGTTTTTTTTCAACAAACAAAACCAAATGAAGAGGATTTCTTCGTAAGTATTCTTAAAGGTAAGTGTTCTAATGGAAGGACTTTCTAATTGTATTTCTCATCACTTCTGAGCACAGTTAAGGAAACAGTAGGAAGGAAGACTTAGATACTGTTATACTGTTAATATGAACAATAGATAAAGCAAGATCAAGGGCAAAATGATAAGTAAAGGCCATCATTTTGAAATGGCAGCCCCATATGCACATGACTGCATGGTGACAGTGATCAATCTTGTCTAACCGGCCTTTCCCGGAGAACCCAGTGGAGATATTTTATATGCGCTTGTGTCAGAAAGGCTCGTGCCCTCATTTTACTAGTAGAAAGGAAAGATACTTAAAAAATGGTCTCCTATATTAGGATATTGGTGTGTCTTGTTTACCTTTTGATCCTATTTCCCTGCTAGTAATGGTTTCTGACACCAAGAATAGAACCCAAGATTCTTGGCATTAGAAGTGTACTGCTGTTCACTGGTGAGATTAGGGAAGAGAAAGGTGTTCTGTCTCCTTTGGAACTTTGAAAAATTAGCTTGATTACTCTTTCAGCACAGAATTCATTACAGCTAAAACTAAAATTCATGTTAACTGTGTAATAGATCAAAAGGGCCAAAACAGAAGAGATCATCGTTTGTTGCATTCAGCAAGGAAGTAAAGATTGATCTTCATGCCCTGTGCATTCCTGATCAAATCTAGGGAAAAAAAATTATTCCTAGATATTCTCACAAATTATATCTGAGAATGCAGAATTCATGACTTCATCAATAAAAGGTATTTAAAGCTAAATGTTTCCAAAAGTACAGAAAGTAACCCAACAGACTATATTAAGCAAAGATGGTATCAAGATTAAAAGCATTTCCATGGCCTCATTAAGAGTCACTTAAACTCAGTGAGATTTTTTTTCCATAGTTGACAGCCCATCCTGGATCAAGCTCTTAATGTATCAACATATACTGTACTTACCCATATAGCTTTCCATACCCAAACTTCTTCTGAACCCCACAGAACTGAAGTGTGTATGCCAGGACAGGGAGATACAGCTCTGATTGCCTGAAATTATCACAATCATCTGTCTTTTTGTGCTGTTCATTAGGCATACAGTAAATCTTACCTTATCAAGTTCATCAGAAATAGCAATGCCTGAAAACAAAACAGATTAAAAAAAAAAAAAAAGATTTAGAAACATTCTTTCTATAAATGTCTTTTACTACAGTAAGTAAAAGTAAGGTTTAATCTGAAAAGTTTACAGTGTTCTCTGCACACTGCTGTACCATACAATGTATCATACTTTGTTCCATTAGTGAAATTGCCTGAAAACAATATACTCTTAACTTTCCTCAAGTGCAGTATTATCAAAATGAGTTTTCAAAAGACTATGGAAATGGAAACAGCAGATGTGCCAGTAAAGTGACAACGAGCTCAAGTATACTTTTACCTGCTTTCTAAAATTAAACCAGCAACATAATATTTACATATGGACACACTATTATGCAAATCTCACCCTGACCAGCATGCATAACATCATGTTGCAATTACAGGGCAACATGGACATGACTCTTCTCTCTTTCTCCATGGCTCAATATAGAAACAACTCTATGAAAACAGATGGAACTTAAAGAGAGGAAAATCTCAAAGTAAAATTTCACAATAGAATGCAAAACAGTTTTTCTAAACCCTCTGAACAAGAACTTGTTTATTTGCTCTTGTCTCTTCTGCTGATGCTTGCCTGAGGCTTTCCTATGCTTGCTTCCATCATGTCATCTAACTCTTTTGACTATTCTGTAGCACATTAAATATGCACAGAATTCTGGTCTCAGAATTTTTAACACATCTACACGCCTCAGTCATATCACACGAAGAGATCAAGTAATCATACATTTAATGCTATCATGTTGAAAATTCTGATGTATTGAAAGCAAAGCATTTCCCAGGTTCCTATGAGGTTTGATAAGAAACATTTCCAGCTTAGAACTGCAATTAAAAAACCAAAGAAAAGCATCTCCTGGTGGTGAAAATAAAGTCGAGAAGTATCCATGCATAGGAAGAACACACACTTGAAAGTTGTTTTCCAATTCGTATCATGTTATCAAGACAACTTCTTCCAAGGAATGCAAGAGATGATACTGCAAAATATGTAGCATCAGCTGAGTGAAGAGTTATTCTTTCTAAAATCACACTAAAGACTGCAGCAGTATAAGCTTATTTCCACAACATTTTTATTTCTTACTATTTGGTATACCATAACTATACGAACTCTTCGGGTTTTTACTGTGCTTTTAATCATTAACTCTATATGCCTAATTCTCAGTTTAGATTACTTCCTTATATCAATTTTTGTTTTCAAAACTGTGAAGTGCTAGGAGAACTGCAATTATGATTTTAAGACCTGATCAACTCCTAAGAAATATGCCAGGAGTTAACAAAATATCTTCAGTCATTCAATAGTTATGAAGTAGATTCTATTGAAAAAGATCCATTCTGCCTAACCCTTCAATCCCTCACAGCAACTAACCCGTTTTAACAACTTCAGACTTTTATTTAGTCCAGACACTATACTAATGTCCATACAGTATAATCAGCAGGTTGCACCAACCTGAATCATTCAACAGGACTTTAATGTGTTATGAATTTCTTCAATCCCCAATTGGCATTTGCTAGGGAGAAGATAACTGCACTCTTGGAGGTAGTAAAAACATAATTCAAGGTTCTCTTTATCTCAGCTTTGAAAACCTGATTTCCATCAGCCAGCTCTCCATCACATTGGATGTATTTTGCATAACCAAGATCAATTCATTTTACAACAACAAATGCTTTCTCTAAACAGACAAACTACCTTTTCTCAGCAATTTCCCATAATGTTAAGATGGTTCATTTTGTTTTGATACAGGTTTATTTCCTCAGATTGGAAGCTGGTCGCCTTTTCTTCTGCTTTCACAGATGCTCTGTGAATGGGTCTTTGAAACCTGGGAGTGGACACAAGAGCAATTCTTCCCTGTGCTGACTTACTTGTTAAAAATATTTATTTTCAAGTATAGCAACAGAAACTACAAAAGGTAACCCTGCCATTTCGAAGACTGTATTCCAAAAAATGCCAAATGTTTTTACTATTCAACTGCCTATGTTGCTAATCAAAGATTAGCACTGAAAGTACCAAATAGCAAATGGGAAAAACTGTACATACAACTACATGCCTCATCCAAAAAGCTCTACTAATTTCTCTGATTAAGTTACATAATGACTGTTTCTCTGATTAAGTTACATAATGACATGTATTAAAAGCAAATAAAATTGAAAAACATCCATAATCTAAAGGAGTGTGTTTAGTAAAATGCTTTTTTGTGTAAGTCTCATCGGTTCCACAGAATTTACTCTGAATTTAGAGAAGACTAAGCTGAGTAATTGAATTGACCAGAATGCCTCAAATTTTTTCTTTACTGAATTGCAAACAGTAGCAAGACACCAAAACTAGCTGTATTTCTTAGATAAGTATGTAGAGAGAGAGCAGTTTCTGAGGACATCTTGCCAAAATAAAATTTTGAAAGTTCAGAAAACTTTTATTTTTGCAATCACAGAATTAAACCTGCGAAGTCTTTTTATATCTCCCTCTCTGATGTGGTATCAAGAGAAAATAAATTCTCGGGAATAAATTTCTTAAGGGCCTTGATACAGTAATCTTGGCATTGTGGTTCTTCTAGAGGCAGGATTTACCATACTGTCAGTCATACAGATCTTTATGTTATGGCTTCAGCTCCATTAACATCAACAAAACTCCATTAGTTACTGATAATACAACTCCATTATCAGAGACCAGGATAAATTAACCCATAAAAAGGTGGGTGTAAAAAAGCTTCTCATTTTCTTCCAAGACACTACTGCACCACATACTTAGTGTGTGCCTACTCTTACCAATTTTCATTTGCGTGCCTACTCTTACCAATTTTCTTTTGCAATTTCCAAACTGACAAAATATCACGGCTGAAGTTGAGAGGAGGGGGGACTTGCACCCTGTGTGCAGTAGACAGAAAATCACAACAGTGAGGTGATTTTTTGGATGCAGATCTCAGGTGGAATAATATAGACTCCAGTTTTCACAAAGTAGCTCCTCAAAAAATTAAACCCATTGCATATATTACCGTAACATCAAAAAACCCCAAAACACCTTAATCCAGAATCCTGAGAACGCAAGTAGAGATACAGGAGTGTTTAGGATTTCTGTTATTCTCTTAACCCTTAGCACACTCCTAACTTTTGGATAGTCAAATAGGTTACTGACAGTTACTTTATTTTCAAATAATACAAGGACAATTTAAAAAACTCAAATTTCTACAAAGTAATGGTAACAGTGATTGCTGTCTCCAGTTCATGTAATTGCTGATATCCAGAGACCAGTGTTTTTCAAAAAGAAAGTCCTCTTTTCACTTATTTTGTATATTTGACAACAAATAATTGGTTGTGCTCTCTGTACCTTGTATAGTTACTTTCATTTTTTTCTCTGTGGCTTTCATACAACATAAAAGAGGAAAAAATAAATTTTTTTTTTGCATATTCTAAATAGGAAAATGTCATTGTAAAAATCACAGACCACTAGAAACAAAGGTACAGCCCATTCCATGAAACTACTTTAAATGGAAACAGCTATGTTTCAGGTTTAGGTAAAACATCCATAAGTGTAGCCAAAATGTCCACACACTAAAAACTTTTAACCTAACAATTCAGTCACTCCCTCAAACTGTAGCCTTTTTTCATCACAACTTAATCCTAATCACCAAAAAGCTCTGATACAGAAAAACTGACATACCTAGTTTGTTCAAGCTTGTATCCAATGGCTTTGTTAGAATACAAGTTATTAGGAACAACCGTTTCTGACTTCCCCCTGCTTAAAGTATTTAAAGCCTGACTGCATGATGGTGAATGTAGAGAACAGAAGTTTTAGGGCTGCATCATCATTGCTCTGCCTCAAGTCACTGAGCAGCGGATAAGAAAAAGTTCTCCTCCCTTTGTTGAGGAAGGTTTTCTGATGTCAAAGGCAAATCCTTCAGAAATAAAGGAGTATGGCTTTACCCCTTCTCTCACAGCAGCTGTTTCTCACAGACAACATTTGCTATACTTTTATATCATAGTATGATTGACAACTACACAATAGTCCTACCATTCTTACTTTTTGCAGTGAGAAAGTGCAGTGTTCCAACTAACGGGGTGAGAGGTTTGCTTGCCACCATCAGCTAAGGCTCACAGACAAGGTTTACATTGGGAATTAGTTAGGCACCTAACTGCCAATTTTATGTCTTTAAAAATCCTCTCTTTTACAAGTAATTAAGGGCGCTGAATTTTGATCAGGCATCACAAGTACCCAGCCCACTCAGCTGTCTGGTGAATTACACAGACAGATTCAGGGCACTTGTTTCTCCTTTTGAGTGTAATGACCTCTGTGCTGTAAGGGTGCTGGAACAATAAAGTAATTGCTCTGAATATGCTTTCACAGTCCTTCAGAAATGCTCCACAGCCACAACTACTGCCATCTCTGATCAGCAACAAATCTGGAGTGGGGCTGTTCATGCTAGCACAGCTTCTCTCAACTGGAACACTTTCATCCTGTCAATAGCTTGGTTTTTGAAGAGAACTGGAAGAACAAGGTACTCTCTGATCGCAAGAAAGGTCTGGCACACTAGGATTAAATGAAACATGACTACCAGACAATGTAATAACAAAGCAACTTATTAATACTTAATATACTTTAATTACTATTATCATGCCTACATTAAGCAGATTGCCCAAAAGCATATCTCACTGTATTAGCCATGTACCTTACAGCTTTTTTATACTTAAAATATTAAACCAGTTGTTTGTCGTGCCTTTTTTTAAAATTAGCATGGATTATTAAATTGCCCATACATATACAAAACCATTCTTTACATGGTTATCTTAGATTTCTGTTCCCAATCTTCTATCCTTTCCACAATCTGCAGCAGCACAATGGTAAGAATGGAGAAATAAAGATGATCATCATTACAGCACTATAGCATCACCTTTGATGAAAAAGTCACTTCCCAAAATGTATCTGCACCTTGTTTTAACGAAGTAAAATCCCTTTAGAGTCTAGAATGAGTATCTTCCACAGTAAAGAAAAGACTTTCTGCTTA